TTTTACCAAGGCCCCCATATACTTCTGATGCATGCTCAAGTTTGGGAACTGCCGTGGTTTTGAGGGTCTCCAGAGTTCATCATGGGTTAGAAGCTCCTACAACTCTGAGGAAACAAATTTCTGTTGTTTATAAACTATTCTCCAGTATTTTCTCACAGAAACAGAAAACAGAATGAGTGCTGATCTAGCCAAGGAATGACCTGAACTTAAAACACTGATCTATCTGTTAGTTTTCCCATGTTCCAATTTTTGTTCTTTCCAATTCCCATTCTGTTTTTTGTTTTTGTTTTTATGTAGTTGAACTGTCTACTTCTATATCTATTACTACTATTGAAGTAACAGCTGCCTTTTGTTTAACATTTGTACGAAAGGCATTCGAGGCTATCACCAAGTACATAGCATATTATTCAGTTTTCACAATAATTCTTTAATTCCAACAAAAAGCCAAGGATAAAAGATATTAATCTATGCAAGGTCACTCAGTCAATAAATAGCACAACAGGGATTTGGCCTGTTATCCTCTCATCTCCAACGCTCCCAAAGTTAATAACTATTCTATATACTCCTTAGAAAGCTGCTATGCCTGTGGTCTGGACTGTCATTCACACTACGCTGTTCCTGGTCTGCTTCAACTCTGAAGTAGAATTTTGAACTACCTGCATAGTGGATCTGTCTACTGAGACTCCCCATAAGTTCCTTCAAATTAACATAGCACCATTGCTTCTCTGCACTTAAGCCACCCCTCCTTTATTTTCTAAGTTAATGGCATCATAATTACCCACTTGGTCACAGCAGGCATGTCATCTTGAACTTGTTCTTCCTCCCTTCTATGTGTTCTTAAAGTTCCAAACTTCTAACAACTAAAATGTTCCTGAACTCTAACCATCCCCACTCTCCTGTCTTGAGATACCAGCGCATCCCTGCCTCTCCATTCTACTGCAGTCCATGTGGGAGGGACTGCTGATTACTTCCTGGTGATGTGCTTCATCTACTTTCCTTGGCTTTCCATTGCCAATTAAACAAACAGTGGGTCTAAACCTTTTAGAATAGAATGCCAGGCATGGTGGCACACCCCTTTAATCCCAGCACTGGAGAGGCACAGGCAGGTGGATCTTTGTGAGTTCAAGGCCAGCTTGGTCTACCTAATGAGTTCCAGGACAACCAAGTGTGGTAACATCTTGCTTGTACAAATAAAACTTGTCTGAAGAACAGAGGATGAAGCTTGCCATAAGCTAACCATAGAGGTCTGGAGATCTGTGCCGACAGGAAGTGAGATGGGTGGATAGAAAGAGGAAGTGAGATAGCTGGGCAGAGACAGGAAGTGAGATGGCTAGGCAGAGAGAGAATATAAGCGAGAAGAAACAAGAACTCACTCTCTTTTTCTGCTGAGAAGCTAATGAGGTAAGGTGGCTCTCTGATCTCTCAGCATTTTTCTCTATATCTGACTCTGGATTTTTATTATTTAAACCAATTAAGAACCCCAGTTACAACCAGGGCTGTGAAGAGAGAGCCCATCTCATGGAAGGAAAGAAGGAAGGAAGGAACGAAGGAAGGTCTAGATAACTTATCTCTAATATACTATCCCATCTCTGGTGTCACACACTAAACAGAGAAGAAACAACTCAAGGTGCTTCCAAAAGGACCATTCTATTTTAATGTTCAGCAACATTTCTTAGACTGTCTACCTAGAAAGTTCCCTTCCTCCTCACACACAGCAGAGCCCTGTGGGGTTAGACTCTATCCTCTTCTCACCTAATCTTTGAACATCCATGTGTTCCCAGTAGTCAGTTTCTCTAGTACTTTATTAATTCTCAACGTGATTAACTTATCACAACATGTAACAGCCAGTGGTTTGTCATCTCTGATTAACACTTGTATGCCAAATATATTACAGCATCTCATTCATCTATGCCCTCACAGCACCTGACAGAAGAGCTAGTTATAGCTAGCACCTCATAAATATTTGCTGAGTTGTTAAATAATGCAAAATTTGCCGGGTAACGTTACACATCTCGGTTAGCAAATTGAACCCCAGCCTTACAAACCATTCTAAAGAATTCTCTTTTTGTAGGGGAGGAGGGACAAGAGTGACACTGAATCTCATGTAGCCCTGACTGCATCAAAATCACTGTTGCAGAGGATATTGCTGACTTCCTACATCTCTTGCCTTTACATGCCATGTACTGAGACTACAAGTATGTGTTGCTACAAACAGCTCAAGAATTTTCTGATAACAAGAAAATGTTACAGATAGTTTAATATTCTCCAACAGTGCGTAATTACTGTCAGGTCTTTTTTGTCTGTGTTTCTTGGCACTGCTCTTTAAAAAGGCTTCCTTTCTAGTTAACATATTTGTATTTTTGTCTCCCGATCAGCAGTTATTGTTTAGCAGGGCGCTGTGAGAGACAATCTCAATGGAAACTGTGTCACTGAGTATGGTTAGATGATGACTTTGGTTACATATTTCTGTAAATATCCAGAACAGCAGCCTAGACCCATTAGATAGATTTTGGGGGCTGAACCATGCAGTATTCACAACCTAGGATAAATGCATAGGGATGAAGCATTTACTCCAAAAATTGAAGGATATAGACATCTGACCCAGGCTCAACTAGATATCCTTTAAGTAAATATAACAGTAAATTTGAAGCATGGCATAATGGCTCTTATTTGCATTCCCAGTAATCAGGAAGCAGAGTCAGGAGGCTCATAGTAAGTCTGAAGCCAACATGGTCTACATCAGCCAGGGCTATACATGGTAAGACCCTATCTAAAAAAGAAACAAAAGGTGTTTCAAAAGAGCAACACTTGTAACTTATTCCTGTCTTAGACTTTATTCTAATTTATACCACCCCATTCCCCATACTTGATTTGCTGTTGCTGTGATAAAACACTGATAAAAACCAATTTGGGGAAGGGTTTATTTTGTTGACAGGTTAATTTTCCATCATCAAAGAAAGCCAAGGCTGGAACCTGGAGGCAGGAGCCAGATGTTGTTTACAGAATTGCCTTCTACAACCCAGGACCACCTGCCAGGTTCTGTGGGGGGAGGGGAAGGATCAGGTAGGAGGCACTCCTATATCACCTATCACTTTAAAAAATGTCCCCACAGACTATACACAAGCCAATATGATGGAAGCAATTCATCAACAGGGATTTCCTCTTCCCAGGGATTCTAATTTGTGCCAGGCTGGCAAAAACTAACCACAGGCTCTACCCTATTATTAACGGCAGATCTGGAACACTTCCCCTCCCACCCTGTTAAATATTCTCTATTTCTGTTTAAGAAAACTTTTTCTGCTCCAGTCACATGTCTCAAAATATCCCTCCACCATCCAATAACAAATTCTTACCCCAGGACTTCTTAATGCTTTCCTAAATCCAACTTTGCACTTCTTTTAAAGGCCAGTCATAATCTTACCTTCCAGAGCTCCCTATCTCTGACCTCCTCTTGTCTAAATTTCTCCTATTATAGTCCCATCTGATACTACTACCTCATTTAGTTCCATGATTCTTTTACATACACAGGCTTTCTCTTCCTGACTGGACTGTTCATTGTTAAAAGAGAAAAGCTGGTCATCCTCTCGCTAATTTAGCACAACTCTAGAAAGAAAGAAGCTGTAGCATTAACTATGTGAGGGCTAAGACTAAATGTTTCTCTAGTATTGACAAATCATTTATGCACAGTGTGACGCTGAATCCACTGTGTGTCTACTCTTTAGCATGCGGGTTTTCTAGGAAACACGGGCAGAAAAGGAAAGCAGATGACTCTAGTTCCAAACGTTCGTAAATGAAGAGTGGATCTGGAGTATTCGGCTTCACAGAGTGAGCTTTACTAATGTGAGAACTCCAGATGCCATTCTTGACAAAGCCTCGGTTATAAAACTGAATCTCTGGATGGAAAATGAAGTTATGTCACCCGGTTCTTATGCATACATCATGATTAAATGTCACTGTTGCCTAACTTGTCACTGGTTCTAGGCATTGTCTTCAACAAGTAAGGGGGGGGGGACGATTTCTTCCGTTTGTCTACATTACTCCTCCATCACCAAGGATGGTTTGGGCCACCACCACACATCCAACTCAGTAGAGTCCAGCACACTAAGACAGTACTGACTGGTGGCTAGCTTCATCTTTTTACTCCAGCTTCACCATTCAAGCCCACACGTGGAATGCAATCTATATTTTCATACGATTAATAACAGCCTGCACTGCTTCCGGGGAAAATAAACGCAAAAGGCAGAGCTGCCCTACCCTTGAGGCCCTTGCAATGGTCCAAAACACAGCACAGTACTCTCGGAAAGACATACAGGAGCAGTTTTGAGTCTATGAGGAAGTAACAATACTGAATGGGTATGGTCCTCTGGCTTTAAAATGTGTACCAACACCGGATTAAAAAAAAAAAAAAAAAAAAAAAAAAGGTCAGAGAAGCACGTGAGCATACACGTGAGGCTGGAAGATCCAGGCAACAAGTTGGCCACCCTACACTGACAGGTTGCCTTCCCCCAGGTCGTGGGTGTGCCCGAATGTCGCGCAGGCAGAGACTCAAAAGTCTCCCGTAACTACGCTCCTTTTATAAGACCCGCCAGGATAGAACCGACAAAGCCCCTCGCGGTTAGTCCAAAACTTTGTGAACCCCAAGGGTCCCCATTTCCGCGTTTGTCAGGCTTGCACAGTCGCATCTCTTGTCCTGGCGCGAGGCTGCTGAGGAACGCGGGCTTCTCCCGCTTCGAATTCCTCAGTGGAGGGGAAACTGGCAGCGACATCCCGGAATCCAGTCACTCGTCCCTCCGCACCATTCTCCAGCGCGCCCCCAACAGCGCCAGGCCCGGGAACTGACCCTCTTCAGCCCCCGTCCCCGCCCCCGGAACCAGGGGCGTGGAGCGGCGCGCACGGGTACGGCGGGGGAGGGGGGAGTGCGCGTGTCCGCGCCCGCGCCCGAGCCGCGCAGCAGGTGCGGCCCCGCCCCACCTCCCCGAGCGGCCCCGGAGGCGACTCACCCCGACGATATTCCTCAGCGACCTAGCCGCCGCCACACACGTCTCTTCCGCCCGCAGCGACCCTGCCTCGTGGCCACCGCCCCCTCGACCGCCGCCTTCCCCGCCGCCGCCGTCGCGGCGCGCGCCCGCCTTCACGCACACCGCCGTGGCCGCGCACGCGCTTTGCGCGCTGGCGTCACTTAGCAACGGATCAACTGTAGGCCGGTAGGACCCAGGATCTCAGGGCCCCGGGGCGCCTCAGTCGGGGTCTTGCGGCGAGTCTCCGCCCGTCCGAGCCACTGCCCCTCCTGAACTGGGCCCTCAGGGTGTGGCTGCCCTGCCAGCACCTGGCTCAGGGTAAGTCACGTCATCACACGTCACTGAATAGCGTCATCGGTCGCGTCACTGCGCATGGGGAAGAGCCGGAGCGCTTCTAAGAGAAAGCTATAAGCTTCTTTAGTTAGTCGCCTACCTGGTGGACAGTCGGCTAGGTGCGAAAAAGTTCTACAGGGAGAAAGAGTGAGCCAAGAGAGCCATTAACGGCACGACGGTGCTATGAAGGCCACGCCTGGAACGCCATGACTCAGTTTCCTCGTTCTGAAAAGTAATACCCTGCCTGCCTGCCTGTCTGCCTGCACTAGAAAGGTGTGAATTTAAGACGAAATAATGTGTACAAGGCTGCCGGGGAACCTGGTTTCATTCGGATTTCCGATTTCAAGGCCCTGGCAGAAATCGGGACATAACCACTCACCCATTTACCATCCAGGACTACTGAATGTAAAGTATAAAGCCCATTAGACTTCATCTTTCACATAAGAAGAAACGATAGAACAAGGAAAGTGGGGGCTGTGGACTTGGAAGCCATAGAAATAGGGACTTAATTGGGTTCGACGATTTGAAGACGAAGACAATATCCTGGCAAAGACACCTTAAATAGGAAGTGAAAATGAACGGAAAAGCAAGGGCTGGGCCAGGGAAGCCCATCTGAGTCCATTGTAGTACCCTAGAGAAGTGATCTTAGAACAGCAAGGCACTGGGATGAGAATGAAAACATGGAGGCCAGGATTCTAGTATGGGTGCTGAGATAGGTGGTAGTGACGTTGTCTAGCAAAATGGAAAGAAAGTTGCCTTTATGTCCGAGTTAACTAAATGACAACGGCATTCCTGACCGATGGCTATGGTAGAACAATGCATTTGTGCAGAAATATGTTGGTTGGGGAAACATACTCCTCTCAAATCTTTCATGTGGGATGATGTTAATTTAATACTTCTAGCTTTTGCTTCACATGTTCCCAGTGTACTTTTCCTTAGAGAACTGACTTCCAGATTGGTAAATTTAACAGAATAAGCTGGACATGGGAAGTCTCTAAAGAAACTGTTAGTGTGTGGTGGGATAAAGATGCCTACTCTGGGGGTACAAAGCAAATCCTGGGGTTTAGCAAAAGAAACTGCCCAAAGGAAATACCCAATTCTACCTTTGTGAATTGTTTTACAGAATGATATTTCCCACAGACAGTCCCCCATCTCCATAATCTACTACTATGTTCTGTAATGTGACAGAAGGGAGTTTGCAGATAACAGTTCAGTTAAGGACATGGGATGCACCGAATTGCCCCCCTAGGATGGGGACAAGAACATAAGAGTTGGAAAGGGCATATGAAGGAAGTACAGGTCACAGAGATTTGAAGATAGTGCCCAGTTAGCCTTGAAAATGGATGATATTTTGCTTATAATCTAACAAATAAAGCTTGCCTGAAGATCAGAGTGCAAAGCTTACCACACTAGTTAGCCATAGAGGCCAAGCAGTAGTGGCACACACCTTTAATCCCAGCACTTGGAAGACAGAGGCAGACGGATCTCTGTTAGTTCAAGGCCTAGGCTACAAGAAATTGATCCAGTCTAAAAGAGAAGCAGCTCACACAAAAGTGTTCCCAACAATTGGAGTGGCATGACTTTAATCCCAGCACTAGAGAGGAATATAAGGCAGAAGGAAACTGGAGCTCAGTGCAGTCTGGAGATGCAATCTGAGGACAGGATCACCATTTGGTCTGAGCATTGGGAGAGGCAAGAGCTCTCTAGTGAATGGCCATTTTGCTTTTCTGATCTTCAGCTTTAACCCCAATATCTGTCTCTGTATTTTTATTATGAATACCAACTAGGATTTATGCTACACAGGCAGTCTATACAAACTGGAAAGGGCAAGCAACTGAATTCTTGAATTTCAGACTTTTGATTTCTAGAACACTAACATGAATGTTGTTAAGCCTCTCAGTTTGTATTAACTTATCCCAACAGCTATAAGAAACTAGCACATTCAATAATAAAGATGACAGTCTCTTGAAGCATTCTCCTTTATCTAGAAAAGAAAAAGCACACAGTTTGTCAGGCTGCTTCACAGACTAAGCACTGTGACTATGGTGTGATGAAGGGGCCCTCAACATTTAGAGGAAAATGTCAAACAGCCAAATAACACAGGTCTGTGACTGATGAGAGAAACTTAGTGACCGGTCCTGAAATCATTAACATGTGTGCCCTTGAAATGGCTTGTGGGAACCTGGCCTTTGTTTTCTTTTTGCTTCCTGGTCATGAGGTGAATGGTTTTGCTCTGACATGCACTCTGTCACTCCACACACCTAAAACAATGGAGCCAGTGGATACCAGACTGAAACGTCTGCAACTGTGACCTGTAGCACACATGGTTATCTCATGTTTTTGTTTTGTTAAGGTGATGATGGGAAACTATCATGCCACTGGAAAGAGATATGCATACAAGTCCACTCAGTTACAAATGCCAAGTGAGCAAATTTACTCAGGGTTTCTGGGCAGGGAAATGAAGTGGGAACATGGTTATGCAACTCAGTTATATAACTGGTATCACCTATAAAGAGAGACACATCAGTTATCCAGAGTGGCCCAAGGGTTTGTGACTTCCAACTCATAAAGAAAAGTGTCTGTTGCTCATGAAAGGGACAGAGAAAATCACACAACACTGTTTATAACAGCAGTCTTAAAAGTCCAACTAAGGCCATCTCACCAACACTTGAGAGTTAGTCTGAGCTGTGCCACTCTGTCCAGACAACTGTGGCTATCACTTATTTATGTAAGCTGTTCACTTTGGAGGAGAGGTAAGCAGGTGGGTAGACTGCTAGTTGCCATGAATGAGCTTTTTTTTTTTTTTTTAATTGGTTTGGTTTGTTTTTATTTGTTTGTTTGTTAAGGTGTAGGCATACTATAGCAGAGTACATAAGGGTAAAACAGTTACTAGACCAAGGCTTAGACTCATGACAGGCGGTCCCTTTCTAGGGAACCTTCTGTTGGAACCCTGATTTAAATGTTCTTTCTTTATACTGTTAATGTAACACCCATGCATTGTAGCATTTATTGTAATAATGATGCTTACATGCCAGGCACACAGTTCCTGCACCTGCTGCTTATGTTTCAATATATTATAGGCCTCATGAGCTCATTCAAGTCTTAAGACAGCGCTTTGAGGTAGGTGATATTATTAATTCCAATACTTACAAACCAAGAAGCTACATCACAGAAAGTAATCACTCAAGTTGACAAAATTAATAAGAGATATATTAAGCCGGGATTCCCAATGCTAGCACCCATTTATTGTCACTATTCATGCCATGTAGATAACATGGCTTACACAACTCATGCCTAAGGTTCATTTTTTCCCCCCAAGGGGTATGTTTTGTATGTGATCCTCCCAGGTAGATTTATTAAACAGTCACTTTGCTGGTAGCTCTACATTTTATAAAAGCCCATTCAGATTTTCTTACAGTCAAGAGTGAGCAATGAGGTGGGGCAGATGGCTCAGGGGTTAAGAGCATGCACTGCTTTTGCAGAGGATCTGTGTTTGGATCCCAGCACCCATATGGAGCAGCTCACTGCCTGTAACACCTGTTCTAGGGATCCAATACTCTCTTCTGGACACCAAACTTCTGTAGTCACATGTGCACATACCCACACAGAGATAACACATGTATACTAATACTTATATACTAATGTATATACCAGTATTTTCTTGAAAGGAAAAAAAATTAATCCAAACCTTCCATCATCCTGCAACATAGCATTTCAATACCTAAATAGCTCAAGCAGATGGTTAATGTTCTGTACCCCACTTAGCAGATTTTGCCATGTGGTATAACAGACACATCCAGCATTGTCAGACTTGAAATCTATTAATCTCTAAGTATTGGCAAATAAAATGAACTTTTAAAAAAGAGAAAATAACTTGTGAGTTTACAGACCTTCTGCTCTACTATGTAAAACTTGATCTTGAACACTTTTCCCCCTTTATTTTTGAATACCTAGTTTTATGAAAATTCCTAGTTTGCCTGTGCCCAGCTACTACCATAGAGACAGGAATGGTCATGTAAAGTTGACAGCCCCCACATGAGGTGGCTTACTGTTCATAAAAAACTGTCAACCTCCTTCCCATCTGCTGATATTACTGAATTCTAACAGTGTGTATCTGTCTTTAGCCAAGCACATGATGCTAGCTTGAACCACAGAAAGCATGTTTGTCCATATTTTCCTGAACCCATGCCCGCAAATTTTCACACCCACTGCCATGAGTGTTGCACCAACTTGGCAAATATCATGCCTCCCCAGAAGGAACAGCCCCCCCCCCAGAATCTATGAATGTCTGTCCTGTAAGACTTACTGTGGACTTGATGGCTTTCCGTTCCCCACAGCCTCCAGTTTAAACATTCGTTTCTTGGTCTCAAGTTACATTTTAAGAACTCAGTAGATACTGGGTTGGACTGTTCATGTATGGAACTTTTGTGTTATTGCAGAAAGTTCTGTTGGATTGTGCTGGTCTCGAAATTCTCTAGATATGAGAATCAGGCAGAGTGTAAGAATGGCTTGGATACATTGATACCTGTCACCAGAAATTCTCTTTGGAGAGTTCTGAGGAAGTCTCCTTTTGTTGCTGTTTGACAAACACCCATAGGTAGCTCTGATACAGAACATGCATATGCTTCCCTAAGGAAAACCAGTGTAGGGTAAGGGGGAAGATGCTTTAGATCCTCAGGTTTGTCCTAGTTTAGTATTGTAAAATTAAATAGCTGCTAAAAAACAGAAGTTTTTAAACCTTTGCCAGAAAAAGTGCTAAGGCAAATGTTTAAAAAAAAAAAGAAAATGGGCAAAAGAACCAAGTCTGCTTTGCATAAAATAGAAAAGTGCAGATTGCCAAAGAAGCATGAAAAGGCATCCCGTTTCACTTGTCCTCAGGGTATTGAGTCAAAGAAGACTCTGAACC